AGGGTTGTCTTAACCTCTTGCCTCTGATTATCCCGAAGGCAGTCTTTTTAAAAAAGCAAATTCACCATCTCCATTTTCATGCAAAACTGCTGCATCCTGACAGTGAGGTTACAGGGATTTTTGAACAAGCGAATGGTCTAATATGCTTAAGCTTAGTAACATATTTTGGCTTTTAAGAAAGAGGCCAGAACGTGTCACCCGTTGCGTTGCTGGTCAAAACAGGCGTAACAGAAAATGACTGTGATTGACCTGAACGGTTCCTAATAGGATTCTGTTGGTTTTGCCTTTGGGCCCTGTGTTTAATACTCGTGTTAAAATAGTAATTTCTGAGCGCTGGCAGATGCTATCAGTACTGGAGATGGGCAAATACGGAATAAATCTGTATCCTATAGTGAGCTGTATACAAGCAAGCTGTGCACTTGATTATGGTAAAATGTAAAGCTGTTTTTCTAGGAATGGTGCAGGTTTCTATTCTGAGAAGCAGTGAAGTATCTAGAAGACATTTAGGAGTTAAGTCACATTTATCATGAGCTTTCTGTATGATTCAGCAGCCAAATTACCCTTGACTGTATAAATAGTGGAAAATTGGATAGGAATAGGCAAATCATATTCCATCTGGATTTAGCACTGGTGTTTCTGCAAAGCTCTGGGGCTGTTTTTGGTATTAAAGACAACAAGCAGAATGCTTAAAAACTGGAGATGTGCTGAGAAAAGACATAAAAATATCAAGATTAGAGGATAGGCGCTTACGGAACTACATATAGAACTTCTTGAGCTTAGTTTGATGCCTGGAGGAGAGCATCATGGTGGAGCATGAGTAATTTGGGAGATTTCTGGAGTGTGGTTCAGAGGTCTCCTGAAGTGGCTCATCCAGCTCCTAGTTGGGAGAGGGGCTTTGCGGGACCTGCTACTGGCAAAGAGGTGTCAGGACCGTGTTCAGGGCTGTGATCCCAGCTGCAATAACTGGGGGATGGCAGAGGGCCATGAGGAAGGCATGGAGCAAGAGGAAGGATCCTCAGAATCCAGGAGAGCAGCCTGCAGCTCTTCCAGGAAATGGAGAGGTGGGATCCCATGGGATGCTGCCCTGGGCAGGGCGGAGGAGCCCAGCTGGGCTAAATGGTCTTGAAGGTCATCGTGAAGCTGCTCTGTGTTCGCCTTGAAAGGAGGTGACAAAGAGGTCCCCAGTGCCTGAAGAACAGTAAGTGTCAGGCCCATCTTGAGCAGTGTGTGAAGGGGATTTGGGACCTCAGGAACCTCATGGAGCGTGTGCTGGAAGCTGCTTCCACGCACAGGAGGGTGGCCAGGCAGCTTCAGCACAGGCTCATCAAGGTCAGAATGTGCCTGAGCGACCTGCTTGCCTTCTGTGGTGAGATCGATGACTCATTCTGTGGAGTGAGGGAAAAACAGCGGACGTTCACCTTGGCTGTAGCAAGATTTTCTAAAATGTCTCCCATAACATGTTTGTAACTGAATTGGGGAGGAATGGACTGGGCGAGCGGATGACAAGGTGGGAGAAAAACCCTCTGACCTGTCAAGTGTTAAGAGGAGGCAGTCGATGGCTCAAAGCCTAGACAGAAGAGCAGAAGAACCTTCATATGAGGGTGCCGAGCCCTGGCACAGGCTGCCCAGAGAGGCTGTGGAGGCTCCTTCTCTGGAGATGTCCAACCTGCCTGGATGCCCCCTGTGCCCCGTGCTCTGGGTGTCCCTGCTGGAGCAGGGGTTGCACTGGGTGATCCCTAGAGGTCCCCTCCAACCTCAGCCGTTCTGGGATTCCGTGAAGCTGCTGAGATAATTAGAGACTGGAGCACCTCAAATTCAGGTGACAGAAAACAAACAGGTTCAGTCTGGAGGAGAGGTGGTTAAGGAGAAATCTCATTGCTGTCTTCAACTACCCCCACCAGGGGCTTATGGAGGAGGTGGAGCGAGAATCTTCTCTGAGGTGCCCAGTGAAAGCAGGAGAGGCGCAAGGAGGTAGGCGCAAGGAAACAATCTTTGCAGTGAAGGAGGTCAAAGCCTGGGACGAGGACCCCAGATGGCTGTTGGTATCTCCATGGATGGAGAAGTTGGAAAGCTTAAATTTCTCTTAATTCACTGACTTTTTTTGTTGTTGTTTTTTAACGTGGTAGATTATGGGTTTGATCTCAGCTAAGAGATATGGGAAACCACCATGTTTCCAGTGGGAAGACTTTTGATGAAAAGTGGGAAATTCAAGTAGATATTTGGCAGAGTCAGTCTTGAAAAAGCCAATGCACTATTGACTGGGGAGCTGTAAAATGAGATCAGATTTCAAACATCAAAAAAGCAAAAGAAAGCTCCAAGAAGCTTTCTGCACAAAAAATAAATAAACTCAGTGTGTGTCTTGATGCGAAACCAGTGTTTAGGAGATAACATTTCAAAAAGTATTTCCTGCCTTTTTCAGGTCTCTGAGCTTTTCCTCAACTTTGAACTTTCTAGAAAGTCCTGGTGAGTGAAGGAGGTGCTGACAATGATAGGGAAATGATGAAGCTAGATGTGGAACACCAAGATGAGAAAGAAAAAAACCTTAAAACTAACCCTCTGTCACCCAAATTAGTTGTGTAATGAAAGTTTGTGCTGCGTAGTAATAGTAAGTACAGCTCCTTTCATAAAATCCTGGTTTATATAATCTGGGAAAACTTTTAATTGATGTCCAGCTCTACTGTTCTGTGTTTGGCTTATGCTGTTTTATAATTTCAGGGTTTGTGCCTTTGCCTGGTTTTAGTATTAGGTTTCAAATGAAATAAAAGTCCCTTTTCTGCGAAGAGGAAAAATGCTCAAATACCCAAGATATATTAAAGTTGGCAAGTCAAGAAAAGGGAGAAAAGCCCAATTTCTCTTTATTTGGGGAATAATGGAGGTGTGTTACCAAAGCCGTTTGCAATGGGAGGTTGGTTGTCCAACCCTCCTTTCCTTTTTTAATTATTTAAAAGGAAGGTGTAGCTTTTATTAAACAAGAACGGCTCAATCAGAGTTCTTTTCTTAAAGATAGATGGCAGATTTGTATATATATATTTTTATTTGCTTAGCACAATTCTTCTCTACCCTCTCCGAGGCGTTAAACATGAAGCACAAGTTGTGATCAGCATCAGCCCTTCAATCTGAAATCCTATTGATCCCTTTAATAGATGTTACAGTTCAGGGTACATTGGTGTTCATTATATTCAGCTTTTCCATAAGTTGGCCATAAATTTCCTCTGGGGGGGGGAAAAATAATTATTTTGGTCTCCCTTCTGTATTTCTACTCCGATTGCAGGTGGTTATTCCTTCATATGAGCATGTCCCCTCTGGCACCACGGATGAATTATCCGGTGGCTTTATTTTTTCCGTAGCAAAGATTTCCCTCTCTAATTCTTGCAGAAGAAGACAGCCCTTCCTAGCCCCATGTTAATGAGTCACATGTTGGCAATGTTTTCCCTGACACGATAAACAACTGCTCCGTTCGTCTGTCAGATCAGTGAGCCACAAACTCTGAAATGTTTTAATGTTTTATGTATGCTTTTTATTTATTTTTTCTCCCCAATATGCATATTTTGACAGCCATTATAGCCTTCCCCAAAATATCTTAAGCTTCATGCATTTTAGGCTGGAAGAGTTTGAATGGATCTAGTGTTTTTGTTTGCGAAGTTGAATCTACTTGTTTGTACCTCTACTGCTTAAAAAAAGAGAAGAAGTTAATTCTGGAGCTTGGTTTTTGGTTGGGAAGTTTCCAGTTGGGCTGGACTGGAAGTCAGATGAGGAACCTTTAGAGAACATCTAATAAAGTGCTGAAATTAGTCACCCTAATGCTTTTGGCATGCACTGTTCTTTCAGGTATCGGCACAGCTCATCTCTCTTACTCAAGGCGTCCTCTTTCTGACCACATTTAACACGGGGGTCTTCATCATCTGGGGTCACTAAAGAGGCCAACGTCCTCCTTGGAGAGGAGCTGTTAATCCTGCTCACATCCTGCTTTGGGAATTACCCACGTTATCTCTGCCGTTTCAGGTGGCTTCAAGAGAAGCTTCCTTCCTCCTTCCGTAAATCTCTTCTGCGCCGCAGTTGCCTGTTACACAACGTCCACATTCACCAGGAGAGGTGGCTATTTTGGGGGTCCGAGTGAAGCCATTTCCATACAGAAACGGATATTATCCCCACTGATGGTGTTGGAGTTTGCGTTGATTTACGCTTTCCTTTTGTGATCCTTGGTTCAAGGCTGCTTTGAATTGCTTTTTGTTTTACCCTCTCATTGATCAATAATTTACTGTTTGTCCCCAAAAGGAGGTTTTTAGATTAGCTGGAACAATTAATCTCAGTCAGACATCCAGTGGTAAATGGGATGGAGGGACAAAAAGGTTAACAAGGAGCTTTTTTGGTGTTAGACGTCAATGAAGTTGAGCGCATGCGAGTCGGTCGCGAGGGTAGAGCTTTTCTGTCCCCTTCGTGGGTGTTTTCTTATCACAACGAGTCAGGTAGCTCCAAATCTTGTCCCGAGGTCTGCAGTTTCCCCTCTGCACCTTGGGGACGCAAAGGAAGAGGACCTGATGGTGCAAAACCCTCTCTGGGCTGAGAACTGAACGGCTGGACGTGGTCGGCCCGTCCTGCAGCGCAGCCCTGAAGCCGAGCACAGTTTCTCGTCGCCCGCTCTGGTGTTCCCTTTTGCTCAGGCCGTGTTTCCAGGTGACAAGGACTGCAGGCTCGACCTGCTCTGAGAGCCTATTCCTAACCAGTACTGTTTGAAAATAGCTGAATAAAACAAAACAGCCCCTCTCGTAAGCTGCTGTACTCTGCTTTTCCAAAGCAAGGGCCAGAATTCCCTTGTTTCCTCCTTCATGTTGTTTCCTCCCTGTGTTGTACGAGTGTTGTCAGCTGCATCTTGGATCTTTGGGATTTTTACCTGGATTCTACCTGTGGCGGTGATTGGGAGCAACCCTCTCAAGGATGATTTTGGAAACTGAGGTCACCTGTGAGACCATCCTGATTTTAACAGCCTCAATTCGTTGCAGGTACTCGGAGCGCAGCCTCACGAAATGCATTGGGATAACGATAGAGACCAGGCCGGATTACTGCCTGAAGCGGCACCTCAGTGACATGCTGTCCTACGGCTGCACCAGGCTGGAGATCGGCGTGCAGAGCGTCTACGAGGACGTGGCCCGGGACACCAACCGGTAAGGACAGCCCTTCCACGTGAAGCCGAGCACAGCTGCTCGCTGGTTCATTTGAGTGCTCCAAAGAGCAGTGTCTGACCTGCTCGTTTGAACACGCATTTAGTTTTGACCATTTAGCTTGTTTCCTCACTCGCGTGGCCGTATGTCTGTTAAGAAGAGAAGTAATAAAGTGTGAAGACTTCGTGGACGATGTTGTGGTATCGGGTAGACCGTGACTTTGTGGTGTGCTTTTTGGAGAGAGTCCAGCGCAGGGCTACAAGGATGATCAGGGGCCTGGAACATCTGCCCTATGAGGAGAGGCTGAGGGAGCTGGGCCTGTTCAGCTGGAGAAGAGAAGGCTGAGAGGGGACCTGAGCAGTGTCTAGAAGTCCCTCAAGGGAGGCAGTGAGGAGGATGGTGCTGGCCTCTCTTTACTGGTGGCCACTGACAGAACTAGAGGAAATGGCCACAAACTGAAACACCAAAAGTTCCACAGGAATGTAAGGAAAAATTTCTTGCCAGTGAGGGTGCCAGAGCACTGGAACAGGCTGCCCAGAGAGGTTGTGGAGTCTCCTTCTCTGGAGATCTTCCAAACCCGCTTGGACGCAGTCCTGTGCCACGTGCTCTAGGTGACCCTGCGTGTGCAGGGGGTTGGACTAGATGATCTCTAGAGGTCCCTTCCAACCTTCAGCATTCTGTGATTCTATGATTCTATATTTTCTTTGCAAGTGGTGTTCTGCTCCGGCGTTGTTTGTTTTTTTCATGGCTTCATAAATATATGCAGTATTGCCAAGCAGCAAACGAGCTCGTAGTTCCTGTCCCGCATAATTCGTAGCGTGTGGACTCGAGGAGGCGTTTGGAGGCACTTCACGAGGTGACAGCGTGTTCTCTCCAGCAGCCACGTTTTGCTGCTGAGCAGCAGAGAGCTGCCTCTTGGCAAGGGCGGCGTGCGAGACAGCCAGAAACGAGACCTGCTGATGGATGAACCGGAGCCGTTCTGGGCATGCGGCGCTTCCAAGGATTGCAAAAATACATTCACAAGAAGTCTCCGCTTTATTCCTCGTCATCCCGGAGCTGTGGCCAGAACACTTGTTCTGCAAGGCAGCATGTGCAGTACAGAGGCTCGCTTGCCTGTAAGGGGTGGGAAGAACAGTCTCTCTTTGTCATTGCAATTCTGATAATTCTCTTAGCATTCAGAAGAGGTGACTTCTCTCGTGTTTGTCTTCTCATTTCTGACACACGTACAAGCTGCCTTCGCTCTCGCTGCATATTCCAGTCACCTACGAAAGGTGCTTAATACCCACAATCACAAGTGATGACAGGGAATCACGGGGAAGATTCCGTAAGCAAAACGCATTTTTGTTAATACCGCCCTTAAAGACAGTAGTGCAAAATGGAACATTTTCTTCTGGAAATCCCAAGGAAGGATCCCAAATGGGGTTTCTCCTGAGGGTTTAGCTGTAGTATTGCTGGTGTGTGCGAGTGCAGGATGGCACTGCTGTGCCGTGGCCACCCTCCAGGTCTGAGCAGACAGGGAAAACCATTCATGGAGCAGCTAAAAGGCAGCACTTCCATCCTCTAGATGTCAGAGCTTTCCAAAGGAAAAGACCCGTACTAAGGAATGTAGCTGCATCTTGCTCCTGGACTGGACGTGTTCACTAATAGCCAGGTCTGACACAGGTTGTAAACCTAACAAATCGTTTGTTTTTTTTTTTTTTTCCAGCTTTTAATTCTTTTTTTACAAGCTCTTTTTAAAGAGGGAGTGTGAAGCCCCACTTAGATGTCACCTCTGCACTCATCTCCGTTTTCTTCCCTCCCAGCTTTATCCATGAGATGGGACTTGCCGCCCTAAATCATTCCAAGCTCGATGTCACTCCTGGCTGGGAAGCTTCTCTTGCCACTTTGCTTTCCTGCTGGTGAATCAGTAGTAGTACATGACTGACTCTATTTCACCAAGAAGCAATCCTTTATAGAATTGTGTGTATATAAATATATATATGTACTTTTTTTAAAGGTTTTGGCGCTTTTCAAAGCTGTTTGCTGGATTCTTCCAAGCCTGGGCTGCAGGAATCCCTAGTTTTTTTGCAGCAGGCTCTTGGCTCAGCTGCCTCTCTGCACCTTTGCAGAACAGGGAATTGGAATGTGCGTCTAGAGGAGGGTGATGCAGCTTCTGGCTTCCCAAACGCCCTCACTTTGCTGTCACTTTGTGGGGGAGGTGTTGTGCTTCAAACTTTTAACATTTAGCTTGTAGCAAAATGTCAGATTACAACCAATTAGGCTAACTGTTTGGAAATTACTTTCTATTATGTTCCATAAGTCATTAGTGAGGTTTTTTGAGCGCTTTGGGTGGCTGTGAGGCAGAAAAATATTCAAGAACAGATCTCGGCATCAAATAATCGAATTATTGATGCAGCTCAGATTCCACTTCTAAAATGAAAATAATTTTTATTTATAAAGCAAGTCTCCATTTGCTCCCCTCAGGCTACTCAGGGTCTTGACTAATACTGTCCTTGAACAGTCTTATGAAAACACTGTAACATTTCCCCCAAAAGTCATAAATAAAATTGTAGCCATAAAACTGTATGTAGACATTTAACAGCAGCAGAATCTTTGAGCAGAGAGGAAGGAAGAGCCCCTTAAAATAAGGAAAGAAGCTGCCTGGGTTGGTTAGCATTGAGTGGTGAGTTTGTAGGGCTGGCCTGGATGGTGTGAGTTTGGGATCTAGAGGTCCGGTGAGGAGAAGCAGGGCTGAATGCTGAGCTGTTGGCAAGGGAACCCAAAAAACGAGGAAAACTGGAGCACGGCTGCAATGGGAGGAAAATAGTGAGGAGGAAAGATGGGGCCAGACCCTGGGAGACCAGCAATGGAATTCCCAGGCTGCCAGGGAGGAGCTGGGAAGAGAAAAGCAGAGATTTGGAGGAGGACCCGTCACACATGATGGGAGCAGCTGGTACCTGCAAGGAGCCACGGAGACGGGAGTCGAGCGAAGAGCTTGCTGGAGGCTGCTCACATGGGGCATGGTCAACCTTTTCTCCTGCAATCACTTGGTTGCAGGTGGTTTTTCTTCCAGCTGGTTCTATGTAGCTGTCACCCAATTGGGCGCATCAAAACCCGGGGTCTCGTGCGTGGCCGTGCGGTGCCCGCCGGGCTCCGCCGCGCTCGGTTCTCACCCCGTTTCTGCCCTCGCAGGGGTCACACCGTGAAGGCCGTGTGCGAGTCCTTCCACCTGGCCAAGGACGCCGGCTTCAAAGTGGTCGCGCACATGATGCCCGATCTGCCCAACGTGGGTCTCGAGAGGGACATTGACCAGTTCGTGGTGAGTACGGCCAAAAACACCCTATTGCCTGGGGGAGGTTCCAATTTATCCAAGGCTGCCTCCCCTTCTTAGCTCCCCTAGACACAATACAGCCAGGATGCTTTCTTAAGCACAAATAATTTAAAATTCCCATTTTGAAGGAGCCGGGTAAGAAAGATTTGTTGAACTACTTCATCCAGAAAATTATATCCTTGCCTCGTGAAAGACTGAGTC